CAGCCGAAATAGCTCAGTTGGGAGAGCGTTAGACTGAAGATCTAAAGGTCCCTGGTTCGATCCCGGGTTTCGGCAGCTGTTTTGGCGCTCCGGCTCCCGGCCTTTCCTTCCCCAGCATGCCCCCATTCTGCAGACGACGGACGGGGCCGCTGGCTCAGGCCCACGTCGGGGAGGAACGGAGCCCCCAGACCGTGATTCCGGCCCAAACGTGGACTCTAGCCCGGTTCCCAACACTTCTTAAGCGGTAGGATTAGAACGAGCGCTACTTGTTAGGAGTTCGCAAGAACACCTTCCGCCTGCATGCCCCCTAATTCTTGCAATCCTGCCGGATTTTACACTTGGGGGAAACTGAGGCTCACACAGGCAAGCGCAGGGGAGCGGCAGGCGGGCCTCCTGGCAGGACCACTCCGGCCCCCGAACGCCTGCACAGCCCGCCTGGTCTCGCTCCTGGGGAGCTCCAGGTCCCGGGTGGGAGGTGAGGGGCCCCTTCCCCTTTCCTTCCCGCCCCCCGCTAGCCTGTGGAGCTGGATTTTGTAACTTACTTAACTAAACTTTGCATTTTCACAGGAAAGTTGCCGACATAGTGGAGTTCCTGTGTACCCAACACCCAGTTCTGTTAGCAGCTTACACCGCAGGACACATTCGCTGCAATTCATGAACCAAAGTGGATGTTACTGAAGTCTGAGCTTTATGCAAGTTTTCTGTTTGCCCATGACGTCCTTGCCCTGTGAGTGAGGGACCCTGGGGACTGAGCCCCCGGCCCCAGCTGAACTTCCAGATGACGCAGCCCTGCTGACATTCGACTGGCGCCTCATGAGACCTGAGTCACCCAGCCGAGCTGCTCAGTGAATTTCCAGCCCCACCGGAACCACGAGAGAGCGTCTTTTCCAGCTGCTGGGTCACAAGAGAGAACGCTGCTAGAGGCCATGGGCCTGGTCAAGGCTGCTTGACCGAGGCGAGGTCAGGGAGGTCTGAGCCAGCCTCCTGGGAGAGCCCTGCAGTGGGAGGCTGGCTGGGGGAGTGAGACCAGGCACCGGGCGCGGGAACCTGGGCAGTGGGGGCAGTGAATCAGGGACCGGGGGTGGGGGGGCATGGACTATTACATGTGCAAGTGTGCTTCCCTGAGGTTTCAGATTCTTACCCTATAGGGAATTACATTTTTTTTTAAATGATTTTATTTGAGAGAACGAGCACACGTGTGCGGGCATGAGCGGGGGTGGGGGGGCAGCGCAGAGGGAGAAGCAGACTCCCCATTGAGCAGGGAGCCCGACTGGGGACTCCATCCCAGGACCCCGAGATCATGACCTGAGCCAGTCAGACGCCCAACCAAGTCACCCACACATCCTGTGAATTGTTTTTTTCTTTAAAGATTTTATTTTTTAAAGATTTTATTTGGGGGCGCCTGGGTGGCTCAGTTGGTTGGGCGACTGCCTTCGGCTCAGGTCATGATCCTGGAGTCCCGGGATCGAGTCCCGCATCGGGCTCCCTGCTCAGCAGGGAGTCTGCTTCTCCCTCTGACCCTCTTCCCTCTCGTGCTCTCTGTCTCTCATTCTCTCTCTCTCAAATAAATAAATAAAATCTTTAAAAAAAAAAAAAAAAGATTTTATTTGGCAGAGAGCGAGCAAGCACAAGCAGCCCAACTAGAGGCTCGATCCCAGGACCCCGGGATCATGACCAAAGCTGAAGGCAGGTGCTTCACTGAGCCACCCAAGCACCCCTAGGTTTTATTTTTAAACAACTCTATGCCCAACACGGGGCTCTTACAACCCCAAGATCAAGAGTCAAATGCTCCACCAGCTGAGCCAGCCAGGCACCACCCCACCCCGTGACTTTTTTAAAATCAGTTTTTTAGATAGCAATAGGCTTGAAGAGGGGCCGAGGTGTGTGCAATGACAATTGCCCATCTCAGAGAGTGGGGATGTTGGTGTGTGGGGACCACAGGTACTAGGTAGGGGTGGGATCGTTCCTTTGCATCATCCGGCTGGAGTGAGAAAAGCAAACCAACTTGACGAGCAGCTTCTGCAGGGCCTTGGGGTCTGGGTGGGCAGCAGTTCAGAGAAGGGGTGGGCTGGGGGCGGTGGGAGGAGGGGAGGGCAGGGGGTCAAGGGGGCAGCAGGGAGGCCACACAGAGGCCAGGGAGCTAGAGCCCAGAGGGAAGGGGCAGAGGTGGGCGGGGGAAGGAGGCAAGATGGTCATGGGTTTGTGTGTGGGGGGGGGGCTCCTGGCATTGAGGGGTGGGGTCCAGGATGCTGCCCAGCCCCCCTGCAGCACCCAGGACGGCCGTCGGAGAATGACCCGGCCTGATGTCTGCAGCGCCAAGGGGGGAGACAGGAGTAGGAGTGGGGGCGAGGGGTGGGCTGACAGAAGCCTCGTGGTGGACAACAGGGCAGTGCTGGGGGCAGTCTGTGTCTCAGAGGCTTGTGCTGTGCGTGCTTCTCCAGGGACCCCCATGGGGCCGCCAGCTGCCAGGCCCCGCGCCCCTCACACCTGCCCAGCGGCCATAGGACAAGCACCCTCAGGCTCCCCGCAACAGGGCGCAGGCCCAGGGTGCAGGTGGGGCTCCGGCGGGCATTTAACGCTGGTCTGGACAGGCTGACTGCGCCAGTGGCCCACCTCAGCCACCTCATCAAGCACGGCCAGTGGTGGACGGAGCCATCAGGCTCTCCCAGAAAGGGGCACGGCCCGCTTTGGAGACAATGTCGGGCTATTCTCTGTGGAGGAAGCGACCAAGCGGCCTGGCTTTGGGCTCCACGGTGGACGGGAACCCTCGACCCTCTGTGGTCCCAGCCCCACTGTCCCAGGCCAGCTCGCCACCACCCCCCCCACCACCATTGGGAGGATTCTGGGGCCATCTCCCAGCCTCTCCCGCTGCACAACTGACCCGTGGTTGTGTGTGTGGCCCGGGTCTCTGCCGGCTCAGACAGCCCCTTCTCAGGGCCCGAGCCCGCCCACCTCCCAGCAGGCTCTCCCTCTAAGCCCCGACTCTAGTGGCTGCTGACCCCGGCCAGGGCCTCGAGCTGAGCCTCCTGACCGTGTACCCACTGCGCGGTCCCCCAGCAGCTCAGGATAAAGAGTTCGTTTGAGCATGGCTTTCACAGGCCACAGAATTTCTGTGACTGGGTCAGGACAGGCCATGGCAGGTCTCCAAAGGCCAGGGCCCGCGCTGGGGACCCTCGGGCACCAGGGTGACCCCCCAGCTGCCTCCTTTTCTGGGCCTGGGCAGGAACGTGAGCCTGGCCTCCAGGCAAAGGCCTTGCTTCTGCAGGAGCCGGTCCCCACACTGCGACCCCACGGCCACACACACAGTGACTGAGGCAGCTACAGGTGGGGGTCCCGCCCTCTGGGGAGACCGTGCTCAGCACTGGGCCAGATGTGGCCACACGGGAACATCCGCACGGGACCAGGGGGTGGGTGGGAAGCGGCCGCTGGAGGGTCCTGCCGCACGTGTTCTTCCACATAGGGAAGGACAGCAGAGCTGAGATGCGAGGAAACCCGAGTGCAGCACCGTGGCCTCAGGGCCTGCCTCAAGAGGAGGCAAACACGGAAACACACGCGTGTTGTGGAGGAACGCATTCACAGAGGCTTTCTTAAAACTCCTGTTTAATATTGGATACAGTGCTTTTTAACATAAAAAAAACAAATGTGCACCTTTTATTAAACAATACAGTACAGTCACAAGTAATGATATGCAATAAAATAAAACACATTTTTGTTTCAAAATCAGGAACTCTACCTTCCACAAAAGCCAGGAAAAGAGCACCCACAGATGAGAAGCGAGCACATTCCGGGCCCCGGTCCCGCAGACCGCACTTGCGCCCCAGCCACGGGACCCATGGCGGCCCCTCCAGCATCAGCACCGCTGACTCCTTTCTTCTAGGAGCTGGTTATCAAATATTTCTTTTTCCCTTCAGAAAACAAAAG